CCCCAAAACCCCAAAACCCCAAAACCCCAAAACCCCTTGAGTTAAAATAGAATTGATAAAGTGAATTAGCTGTGATTCAAATAATTCTGATAATCTTAACAAACTAATCAATCATAAAATGGAATATTTTAAGAATCTATTTATGGTAAACTACTTTCCTTAATTAGAATGAGTTTATAGGGTTGCTGCTGCTCTGATAATAGAGTTGATAAGAATAGTGATATGTAAACAGGACCTTAGGTAAATCATTACTCATTACCAAAAGTAGAGTGTGTTTGATAATAAAAGGAGAAATAATTAAGGAAACTAGGATGATAGTAATAATATGGGAAACAATAATCAGTATGAAAATTAGGATGTAATTTTTGTAAAATTTGTATAAATATTTTCTAGCTTGGCCATCCAATGCTTGACATTCCTGCTGCAGGCACTATCATTCCAAAAGAAGAGATAAATAAAGCGCCAATCTTGCAAATATAAGTAAAATCAAATTTAACAGAATTTAATTAGGTCATTGAGGGTCTAGCTGTTGAGAAAAATACTTAGCTCAGAATCAATGCTTGCGGATTAATCGGTTCCCGCAGAAATAGGAGTGATGGCTGTACTATTATAGGTTCCTAAGAGAACAATGCCAATGGAGAGATTTTCAATGATTTTGTTATTCCAAATACTGATGCAGGAATTGGAAAGAGACATATGATTATCAAGTACAATATGGACAATAAAAGTTATTATCTGAGGGATTTAGGAGATGGTTCTGGCACATTCGTTAGACTAGATGTACCATTGGTAAATTAACATTGATTTTGAGAGCATTTAGATATTAAAACATGGATATATAATAAGTTTCGGTGACTCACACATGGTAGTCTAATTTGCTTCTGATTTCAAATAAGATTAACTGTCAAAGATTTAATTAAAATTTCTAGATGGTCCTAAAACAGATTAAACATTTACTTTTTCAGAAAATTCGGGTTTAATCAGAATTGGAAGAATGAGTAATTGTGACATAAAATTCGATGATAACTCCCTTTCAAGACTTCAATGCTGGTAAGACTATCTTATTTTCATAATCTTGATAAAGCATTTAATATAATGAGGGAAATTGGCTATTAAAAGATGGTGATGGTATCAAGCTGAGTACAAATGGTACTTGGCTATTTGTGGATGAATTATTTAAGATATATGACAATATGATTTTTAAAGCAGGACAGACATTGTTTAAGGCACAATTGATGTCTTCCTCTTACAGATGACTCAAGACTAAAATCTTGCAAATGTATAATTTAATCTTAAATAAGCAATATCATATAAGCACAAATTGAATAAATTATTTTTAACTACTATTTACAATGTTTATACTGTATATTAAATAATCACACACTTCCAATATAACTGTTTTATCCTCATCTTCTTAGTTTTCCTGAAAATGACGAAACCCTTCTACTAGATATAACCTACTAAACGTTTGAGATCCACACATCAGGATTCTCCTCAATGAATTCTCTAACAATCTGTGATTCTTCCTAATCTTAAGATTCAATTATAAAGTTTAGATTGATTCCGGTTACAGTTAGTTTCCTAATACTTTGAACTCTAAAATTGTAAACATCAAGCTTTTATTTCACAAAACTCTAATATACTTTTAGAGCTCTGTAAAAGAACATTAAAGTTGCATATATTAGAGTTCTATGGTTAATCAGTACTCCGAATAGATCATAGGCACATTAGTCTTAGTCATCACTATCTTCAAATTATAATTTAGGCAACTTGATTTCAGTTAAAGATTGATTTATTTTAAGAAAATACTGAAGCTCTTAAGATTCCTAGATTTCCCTGATGATTATACTTTACAAGTCAACAATTTTAATATGATTGGATTGCTAGAGTGATTTAAACAAAACTTGTTGCCCACTTTTCTTCATACTAAGGCTGCTAATACCCAAATGAGCTATTTTTTATTTCTTCTATATGCTCTCAGAGATTATTATTTTTAACCCTTTATCAGTCAAAGCAGTATCAGAAATGTCTAATTTATTAAGGCTTGTGGAATTTTTCAAAAATAATGCTATAATCTAGGAGCTTTCATCTGTTAATGCATTATGAGACAAATCAAGAGATTTTAATTTCCCTGATACATATGAAAGCTTCTATAAATGAGCATCTAGGTAGCCTCCCATTAACTTTAGATTTTAAATATTAATTAAGCCTGAAGAAATATCAAAAAAGAGTTTATTAATCGCAAATCTGTCTATTTGATTCGATTATAAAGTCAAGGTATTAAAATTGATTTTATTAGTTCTTTATCCAAATATGTCTTCATAATTTTCACTTTACAGTTCAAATAACTCAAGATAATCTAGCGACTAAAACATCAATAAAGACTGCTTTGTGATTAACTCTCCTAATCTCAACTAAGGATCTTTTATTACTAATCTTTTTAACGATTTCTTATCTATAAGAGATGTGAAAATATCTTATACAGGCAGCATTTTTTATTTATCTTTGAGGAAGTTTGTAATCTCAAAATGTTGTAAATTGTTTTTTTAAATAGCTAGTGTAAGGCCTAATATGTTACTCATATCAATGATTAAGTCTCTCAAAATTAGTGAGGATAGTTGCCACCTTCTTTCATTTAGACAGTTAAAGAAGGTCTGTCTAAGTTTATCATACATCGTGCAATTAGCAATTTCTAACTGGGTGATTGAACTATTCTATGAGAGATATTAGAAAAATTATATATAGCTGTTCTTATTAGTAAATAGCACGTTATGCAACTATAATTTGCTTAGTCTTCCACTATAGCCAATAAATCTGCAAAGATTGACATCTTTAGTATACTCAAACTAATTCATGTTTAAAAGTAGACTGCTGATGGTTTTATTCTTGCTTAGTAATTTAGTTATATCTTCAAATTATTCATTAAGATCTGATTAAAAGATAAGTTGTAAATGTCTTAAATTTGGATTACTCAAAAGTGACTTCTAATTGTCCATCTTTGTTTTAAACCCGTTATTAGGCAAAGTTATACCTAGAGTGTTTATGTTGAATTAATTTTGACTTAGCAAATTCTGAAGCTGTATTTGAGTTGACTTAGTTATCTATACATTACTCAAACTATAAATCTGGCTCAATTGCCCAAGGAATTGATACTGAACTGAGTTTGTTAGATTTAAACTTAGACTTTTTATATTAGAAGAAATACATCTATTTTATAGTTCTCCTAGTATGTTCAGAGATTCTACAGCAGTTTGCTAATCATCGAAATTCGCTTTTAAGTTTAAATCTGCACAATTCAAATCAAGTATTCTTAAAGAGTTTCTGTCAAGCACAGATTACCCCACTTCGAAGTCATATTCAATCATAGATTTCATGACTTCAATTAAGTCTTGATTTTGGCTCAAATACTCTCGAGACTAATTTGATAAGACATTTAGCAATCGTTCAATTTCTTCTTTATAAAAAGCAAATGAGAGTATTTCAAGGCAACATTCTTTGCTGGGTATTCTCTTTATGAAAAAAGTTTGCTTCCTCATAACTTGATGATGAATCTGGCCGTTAGAGTAGTTTGTTGAGAAAGAGTTTTCCATTTGAATTTAATGTTGATAATTTTAATAAATTATAATTTATCTCGAATTAAAATAATGAACAAATACAATTAAGAGACCATCTAAGATCCTCAAACACTTATGACTGACTTTGACCTAGCTCCTCTTTCACAAGACTATTTCAATTCAAATGATAGATACTTAGACATAGACATTGGAGTTTTTGACTATGCATTTAAATGTATATAAGGCCCGTATGCTGGCAAATTCTTTTACATTAATTCTTCTCCGCATGGTGAGATTATCGGGGGTATTGCTGATTATGATATCAAAAGAAATCCTGCAAAACTTACCATGTATGTTGAAAATAATCAGCTTGCAGAAAGACATGCTCTAATTCAATTAAATAGCCACTGCTAATATCTTATCTAAGATGTAAGTCCTATTGATTCTACTGGAATTTGGATTAAAGTGCCGACTACTGGAGAAGGAATGGACTTGTATAGAAATAACAACTTTAGGAGAAAATTCATGATAAACAATTTCTCATATGTATTCGAGTTTAAAGAGACAGATCAGATACTTTTGGACTTGTATCACTGGCTAAGAATAAATCAGCTTGATCATGGATACTAACTTATGCTGCAAGAAGGAATTGTAAACTTCGGAACTTACTTTTAAAAGCTTAAAGATTTCATAGATAGAAACTAGTTGAACCAAGAATATCTGCAAAACTTGATTTTATAGACTAAGGATTTAAAAAACTCCTTAAATTATTTAAGTGCTAATGGTTAGATTAAGAATCAAGATTTTTACCAGGAAAAAAAGTAGTTGGTTTGCTAGTTTAAGAGTGGTCCTTAGATTTAATTTGGATTAGATGGGTATTAAGGATATTTGGTTAGTGGTCCAAAGACTTAGAACGCTAATATAATAATAGAAGATGACAATTTGAATGATATGAATCTCTATATCATATTTAAACTTGGATCTTACTATATTGTAGGTGATCACTCAGAGTCTAACATTGAAGAATCTCATCGATCAACCAATCCATATTTTAAATTGTTCAAGGATGAAAAATATCATTTATAGCCAGGTCAAATAGTAAATCTCGGATTATCTAGCTATATTGTCGAAAGATTCAATACTGGAGTCATTGCTGATGTTGGAACAAGAGGCTCTATGGAAGATACTTATATAATTTCATAAGATATTGGAATAGATGACTATCTGAAAGTTTCCCTATTTGCAGTAATTGATGGGCATGGAGGTGAAAACTGTGCTATCTTCTTAAGATAAAGAATAGAACAAGAAATAAGGAAAGAATTGACTGACCCTGATCTGGGGTTGAAGAGTAAAGGAAAAGAAGGTGCTAATGAATGCATAACAAATGCCTTGAGGAGGGCATTCTTAACTCTAGATGAACAATTCTATTAGGAATTCCCAAAATATGCTATAAAATGTGGTGCTGCTGTAGTTTGTGTATTGATTGTTGGAAACAGAGTATTTTGCGCAAATGTAGGAGATTCTAGAGCAGTTCTTTGCAGAAACGCTAAGGCTATTAATTTATCATCTGATCACAAAACTGTATTCCCTTTTCTCATAAAATTTATCAATATTAATTTAGAATAGAAAGGATGAAGCAGATAGAGTAAAAAATAATGGTGGTACGATTGCTTGTGAGAGAGTTTAAAATAAATTAGCAATCACTAGAGCTTTTGGAGATTTTGAATTCAAACTGAAACATTTCGAGGATAAAATAGAAAGAACACACTACTTGATTGCAGAACCTGAGATAAGATTGATGGATATTGACCCATTCATTGATGACTTTATTGTAATTGGATCGGATGGTTTATACGACAAATTTTCAAGTCAAGAAGTTGTAAATTTCATCAGAGCCAAATTAGGAGCTATGCCATTAATGGATTAGGATGTCTCAAGGGTTGCAAGAGAAATAACAAGTGAATGCATTTTGGCTCAGCATGTTAAAGATAATGTTACCACAATTATTGTAGCCTTAAATAGAGGAATCAAACTTAACTGATTGATATAATTATACATATATAATTTTTACTTAAATTAAATAGAAGAAACATCAAGCAAAAATTAGCGAGATATCTCTTGTTGAGTTATGACTGAGTAGTTGAAACTCAGAATCCAAACCATCTACCCTTGAGATATTGAGACATATCTCTTTTATCTCTCAGGTCCTAGAAGAATTCAATCCATGAATCAGCCTTTATTTTGTTTAATGTGTTCTCGATAACTGAGACATGTGGTACTGCTTCCTTTGGATCTCTGTAGTAAAGTGAGAATCCTAGCAAATTTGGGATTGGCTTGTATTTTCCTCTAAGGTTTAATTCATAGTCATCAACATGCTCCTTCAAGTTGAAGCCCTTAAGTCTAATGAGTTAGGTATGAACAGTTGGTTCGTGTGTATTTTCTGAAGCACTAATTCTTGACTCTTCATAGCAATAAGTAGAGTCGCTTACTTGGACAATTTTTCTAATCAAAACCTTATCTTTATCTGCTGGATCAGGGCCTAGGAATTTATTAAATGGATAAAATTTTACCTGCATAAAGGATTCTGTGAGAATTGAAGTCGAGGGTATCGAATCCTCCGACAACTTTTTCTGGTCTATAAGATGATCCAACTCCGGCGTAATTGAACATATTTTTATATTATAATTCAATTATTATATAATCCTGATAATTTTAGCAAGCGGGGTTTTGGGGTTTTGGGG